AAGGAGTTTTTGCGCAAAAAGCCTTGTGCAAAAGGCTTGTTGCATAAGAAGCATGTAATATAAACGTAGCCCCATTGTCAATAAGAGCTAGGCACCTGTCTCCCCTTTATGCCATTGAAAATATGTCTCCAAATTCTCCACAGGTGGTGGAGCTCCACTGATCATGGCAGAGCTCTGCCAACTTACACCAGAAAAGAATTTGGCTCTAAGAATGCAGTTGGCCTGCCTCTGGTATGGTTTTTGTAGTTGTGAGTTGCAAAGGCTTTTTAAGGGATACTGGCAAATTCTGCACTGATTTATACATCGTGCCTCACTTCTTCCTGTCTCCAATTCTCACCAGTGCCCTGCCTGGGTGAATGCTGATGTTAACACTCATCACATATAATCAACAGACAAGCACCAAATCCTTAGTCAGCTGCAAACTTCATGCTAGTTTCCTTTGCTAAATAGGCCATTCTGAGGAAGATAGAGATGCTAACATTCAAGGATGGCATTTTAAAAGGGACAGTAGAGTGCCACTTGCCATTAATTTTAAGAGCGGGGCACCTAACTGCTTTAGATCCCTTTGAAAATCCCACCATAAAGAGATGAGGAGCCTTTCGTGGTATACCTCCTGCAGCATTCATGCCAGGGGCTTATCTGTACTGAGTCTACTTCATCGTCACCACCTCACCAGTATAAAGGGGCTATATTCCCATTACAATTTTTTTATTTAAAGTTGCTCATTACTACAACCACCTTTAAATCCCCAAGTAAGAAAAACAGACCTCAAATATATAACAGATGCACTTTAGAGCTACACCTTTTGATAAATGAATAGGACTCTTCTGATTTTTATCATTAGCCCAGACCATCACTTTTTCTGTTGCTCATGGATAGTGATAAACAAACCATTCTGGAAAAAGAAATTCTGGCCAGAACGTCAACCTCCTACTCCAAATACATTCAAACTATTTAAAATGTTTGGAGCAATTTGGATCCTCCCCTGACCTCGATTATCTCCCAATCTCTCAGTCTGCTGCTCATAACCATTCCTCTGGCACTAAGGTCTCCCAACCCAGTTACTCATCTTCACCAAATATAATCCTTAACAGTTTTATTCCTTTCATGCTATCCCTGACTAGAAATGGTTAAAGTATTTTCTGTAAATAATTTCTGACAAATTAGCTCTTTTTTTCATTCAAAAATTATCCACAAATGATTTTTATTAATTTCTTTATAATTCATTATTGTCTGAAGAATAGGTTTTGTTTATAGCCAGTTTGCTCTGTCTGTGATTTATTATGCGTACTATATTTGGTCAGATTATATTGTTTTTGTTCTGTCCTCTGGAGAAGTTAACTACCTTAGCAAGGCATTCTTGCTGTTTGCAAGTTCTGTTAATGATCATAATTGTCTGATTAATCCTTTGTGTGAATTTAATAACATTTCCTTTACAAATACTTGTATGTATTTATCCAGAACTTGGAATGTTTTTGTTGTCTGCAGATAGTCTTGCAATTAAATCTAACTAGCTCAGGTATTTGCAAATAAAGAAATTAAAGAGGTTGCAAAAAACAAAAGTTAATTGCACTTTTTGCAAAAGTCCTTTTAAATATTTGTATGCTGTATTTGTCTATTTGTCATCCAAATACAATATTACAGAAGGTTTAGAGGCATTATTCTGGACCCATTATTCTATTCCCTTCTTGCATACTCTGGGCATCACTGTAATCAGACATGCAATGAATTCTTAGATTATGAGGATAACCCAACATTTGTGGCATTTTAATACAGCACTATGCCAGTCTGACTGCAACTTTTGGGCACAATATATTGTTTTGTTTGCTTACAAAAAATAACCAGAAAGCAACAGGTAGTGTTACAAATGACTCTTAATCAGAGAGATATAGATGAGAACAGACTCCTAAAAGATTCAGCTCCTAAAAGAACTTCACCACAGCAAACAATAAGCATGTCTTTCTAAAGCTAATTGCTTATATGGTAAGATAATGAGAATTAGCAACATCCACAGTGTCATTATCTAATCACTCCTAGTAATGCTATAAAAATGAATTATCTGAAAATAAAACTAGCCTGATACAGCTTCTGTCTCTTTTCCTCTTTTCCTCTGGTTTACTTAAACTGTTGGGGGGGTTTTCACTATGATATCTTGGTATTAAACTGGAGCTGGAATAGTAGTCAAGTCAAGGTACCTACCTATCAATTGTAGGGGATTCAGATATTTTGGTCTTGGTCCATCACAGAGGTGGTTGTGCAAAAGAAGAGAGGCAGCCTTTTAGTTAACCAGGTAACAAAGGCCTATGACAGCTTTATAAGTTAAAACCAACCCTGAAATGACACATGAAAATTAACAGTGTGCCAATCCCAAAGAATCAATGCAATGTACTAATTGTGTGACGCACCCCTTAATATGAGGGTCATTACATTCTACACTAGCTCAGTTTTCAGAGAGTCTCAGGATATATTCCCCACATAGAGGACATTATATTAGTGTAATCTCAGCATCACAAAGGTATGGATAACCACAGCAAGGTCTGCATCCAAGAAAGTAATGAAAAGTATCGTGTTAGCAAAAGAGATAAACAGTCAAAAGAAAAGGCTCCTGGCCACAATTGCTACTTAATCAGCAAGCAGTAGCCCTTGATCCAAGATGAATCTAAGATCACCAAGATGTGAATCTGCCTTTGTAATAATTGGCGGACATAATCACTCAACAGAAGTTTTGCCACCTCTTCTGATTGCTTTCCTCATTGTACTAATGCTATTGCAATTGTTTGCAGGCAGCAAGTCCCCACTCAACCCCCTGCCTCATATAAAATACTAGAACTGGAAGGGATCTCGAGAGATCATCAAGTCCAGTACCCTGCCCTCCCGGCAGGACCCAGTACCATCTAGACCATCCCTGATAGATGTCTGTCTAACTTGCTCTTAAATATCTCCAAAAGACCGCGCGGTTGCCATTATGCAAATGAAGTGCGGGAAATTCAAATCCTGGCTTCATTTGCAATTTCAATCTGTCTAATTTACATCCTTCTTTCAAAAGAGGGATGTAGTTTAGACATAGCCTAGAAACGGAATGCTCCTTCCTAAGAGGAGTACTTTGCATTTGTCCTTATTAAACTTCATTTTATTTGCCTCAGATGATTTCTCCAGTTTGTCCAGATCATTTTGAATTATGACTCTATCATTCAAAGCAGGTGTAACCACTCACATCTTGGTATCATCTGCAAACTTAATAAGCATACTCTGTATGCCAATATCTAAACAGTTGATGAAGATATTGAACAGAACCAGTCCCAAAACAGACCCCTAAGGAACCCCACTTGTTATGCCCTTCCAGCAGGATTGTGAACCATTAATAACTACTCTTTGAGAACACTTACCCAGCCAATTATGCACCCACCTTATAGTAGCCCGATCTATGTTGTATTTGCCTATTTTATTGATAAGAAGATCTGGATTAAATATATGAAGATATTGTTAAAATGAAGGATCTTCCTGCCTCCACGTCACTTAGTTTTCAACTAGTATAAAATGTCAGGGGAATAATTCATCAGTGTTCACAACAAGCAAATAAATGGAAGCACTTTATTATGCACCCACCTTATAGTAGCCCGATCTATGTTGTATTTGCCTATTTTATTGATAAGAAGATCTGGATTAAATATATGAAGATATTGTTAAAATGAAGGATCTTCCTGCCTCCACGTCACTTAGTTTTCAACTAGTATAAAATGTCAGGGGAATAATTCATCAGTGTTCACAACAAGCAAATAAATGGAAGCACTTTAGGAAGTGCTGAGCTATATAATTATTTATGACAGGTTTTACATTTTCTTTCTCCTGAATTATCAGTGCTAGATGAAGGCCAGAGGGATATAATGAAAATGAAAGAAAGAAAATACAGGAATGATTCTTCGGAGATTTCTCGGCTTCGTGCGTCATAATCCTAGGTCCATAACAATGTTTAAGTAAGACTTTTGGCATCAGTAGAAAGAATACTGAGAGGGTCATGACTCCAGTTGGTACAATTTGGCTCTTCAATCCACTTTCTTTTGTGATTGCAGGAGCTGAAGGAAGCTCACGAGACATTTGAGATTCACAGCTACTTCATGGTATCATTGATAACACATACAGCCAATAGAGAAATGACAGAATGAAAACTGAAGTGAGAGTGTGGGGGAGGGAGAAGACTAATGCATGACATAAACATATATTTCAGCTCATTCATGGGAATGTTCCTGAAAACTAAATGCAAGAGATGGTCATGCCTTTGAGCGATACTGCATGGAAGACCATCATTCTGAATGCATTTGTAGGAAATGTCTTTTAAACTTGATGGTATAATCTTGTAAGCCAAGTCTGTCATACATAACTTGGAAAAGAATGAGTTTACCCTGAAGTCTCCCTTCTGCTTGCATAGGCACACATTATGGAAACACTTGAACACATGCTTCACTTTAAGCACTTACAAAGTCCTGCTGACTTCAGTAGGACTATTTGTGCTCACAGTTCAGCATAAGTTCAAATGTTTGCAGGTTCAAGGCCAAAACATTGTTTTAAACATAACTGTTCATGCTAGAATTTGGTAAGTAAAATGTGTGGAAACTACAGCTCCTGGTTAATTCATTAGTGTTGAAATCTGAATGTGTATCTGTCTCTTAATTAATGTAAATGGGCCTCATCTCTACGGGGCTCAACTAGAATACACCAAGGGAGCACCAGTCAAATCAACCTCACATTAACATACCCGGATATTACTATGGAAGGTTAAACTCTTTGAACAATCCATATAATAAGCTATGAGCACAATGATTTAACAACTATTCCCTCCCCCTGTAGCCACCCACACTCAAACACACCATACTTCAAGGAGGATTTTTTAATATTCTAGTGCAGATGGGTGAGATAGCTGTGAGCATGTTTTTCTACTTGTATAAATAATGTATTACTAGGGGGGCCAACAGCTTCTGCAGACCCCTGGGCAAGGTGGGGAGGGATGACTCTGCATCCCCTGAAGGGGTGGGACCTCAGGTGGAAGGGGCGGGGCAGAGGCAGTCACCCCTCAGCCATGCCTAGACTGTGGTGCTAGTCTCCATTCTCTGCTCTCAGAGCCACGTGGCGTGGCACTCCAGTGCACTGGCATCAATTTAGAAATAGCAGCAGCAGTGGCTGGGAGCTCTGGTCCACTTTGAATCGCCGGGCCTCAGGGCAACTACCCCGCCCCTCTGGTGGCAGGTCCGTGTATTATATTCATTTATAAATTGCTCCTCAATTTATCAGGCTGCAGATCTGGGAACCCTTTACCAGGAATAAACTAGATGTTTTACAGTTCCCAATAAAAGGAACCAAAACACCGTGCTCCACTGTATTCCACATTTTAAGAGAGAAAAGGTAGATCTAGCCATTTGACTCGGGGACAGATATTTTAAGGCTTGTAGGTACCTTAGGATGCAGAAAGGTGCCTACGGAGATTTTCAAATGTACCTAGGTATCTAATGCCCATTGATTTCTGCATCCTTAGAACCTTTAAAAATAGGTCCCTAAAAGCCCAGGGTTTCATGGTTCATGACTGGAAAGGCCTTCTCAAAGAGATGCATTTTATAGCTCTTTCTGAGAGACCACGTTTGCTTTTAGGCTTGTTTCTAGTGGGAGTGTGTTCCAGAGGTGAAGGTCCTGCTGTCAGATCCTGTGAGTTTTGCCATGGGGATAGTAAGAGAGAGGTCAGAAATGAAGATGGCCATTTAGCATGTTGTCAATAAATAGCACTTCGCATTTCACTCTGGAGTCTCCAGGCAGCCACTCAGAGAGCAGGGTATAAATACACCATGCTTTCACTGGCCCACGTCACTCGGAAGGCAAGAACCCTTTTAGTATTACCCTCCCACACTGTTCATCAGGCAATGAGTAAGGACCTAGCCACATTGCTAGGTCTCACAGTCAAGTTAAGAACTTCTCATATAATGCTCCTTTTCTGGGGAGTGACTATTCCAAAGAAAGCCATATCAATGTAATAAAAGAACATGCTATGGCTGCTATATTTCCATTGCCTTCTTCAATTCATTTACATATTGACCTACAGGCACCTCTTAATGATACTTTAACTGAGCCACGTTGTCTTTGGCTACTCTGCAGCAGAAGATGCAAGCAGCTTTCTACTTCTGTCTGTTGTGCCCTTGGCCAGTAGATGACCACAGTAGTAGCACTCCTGCCCCCTAGAGGTAAGTGACTTTACATCTGTGTATTCCTGGCCATGAAGACACCGAAAGGGCAGGATAGGAAGTGAGGCCATGGCAAAGCTGACTGGCTGTGCAAATGTAGATAGATTGTTGCACTTCCTAAAAGGAGTTCTGCCCAGTACCCTCTGCCTGTCTTCTAAGACTCCAGTCCATCGGGGCTCTCCTGGGATGGGAAGGCTCCATGCTGTCTGCAAACAGAGACTGTGCCTAACTTGTACATTAGCCCAATCTGATTAATCTGCACTGTCCTGCAGCCAAAGCAAATGATTTCATTTGTGTAATGAATATCTCAGTTCAATGTTTCAAAATGGTGCCACATATTGCAATGGGTGCTAAAGTCTGTCGTTTATACTGCTGTTTTTCAAAGACGAGGTTTTTCTAAACCCAGCTCAATTCAAATGGGATCTGCAGTTTGTTTGTTTGTTCTCAGAGGTACAGCAGCTGCATAAGAGAACATTTCACCATAAAGAACATGCTGATTCACTGCATTTCTCTTGGGTACAGATTGTTGTCTCCCCTATACAACCTTCATAAATTAAGAAAGAAATCTGAAAAGAAAAGCAACACAATACATGTTGACTGCTCCTGATTTTCAGCAGACACGTTGGTCCTGTGGGTTCTAGTCTGCATCTCAATGTTGACAATAAGCAGGCGAAAGCGATGCACTGCACCCTTTCACGTGTATCAATGTAAATCCCGAGTAATGCCATTGATTGCAACAGAGCAATTCTCTGTTCACTACTGGACAATCACATCCCCTGTTTTGGGCATGAAGTTGCTAAGCACCTTCAATTCCCATGCTGCTCCCATTTTCTCAGTTATTAGAAAAAGCTAGAGTACAGTAGCCTTGGGTTAAAGATTGCTGCTGAAACAGCCTAAACTGTGACTTAGTTTAACCTACTACAGAAACTTTATCTCAAACAAGACTAAAATTGGAGAGTTCCATAGTGATGATATCCACAAAGCCATCCAGCCTCATTTAATCAATCACCAGCATTTGAACTTTTTTTTTTTTAAAAAAAGCATGAAACCAAGCATTCATTTTAGCAATGGATTTTCTTCTTTCCTTTAATCTCTTGCTTTCCTATATTTTGCCTGTTCAGTAAATGAAACCAGCAAGCACAGGTTGCCTGAAACCAGATTTGGCTGCATGCTTCAAATTCTGAGTGAAATGTCACAAGAAATTCATTCAATAGGTGGCATGATTTCTGTGGGGAAGTGCAGCCTTCAGTAGTCATAATAAAAAAAAAATCCCAGGGTATTTTTTGAATACAAGCAACATGAAAAGGTTATGAGAAAGATGTGTTTGTGGACAGAAAGTAACCGCTTATCTTATTTTTATAACAATATGTGATGGATAACGTGGTAATTATGGGTGTGTCTAGACTACATGCCTCCGTCGACGGAGGCACGTAGATTAGCCAGATCGGCAGAGGGAAATGAAGCCGCGATTAAAATAATCGCGGCTTCATTTAAATTTAAATGGCTGCCCCGCTCTGCCGATCAGCTGTTTGTCGGCAGATCGGGGCAGTCTGGACGCGACGCGCCGACAAAGAAGCCTTTCTTGATCGGCACAGGTAAACCTGGTTTCACGAGGCATACCTGTGCCGATCAAGAAAGGCTTCTTTGTCGGCGCGTCGCGTCCAGACTGCCCCGATCTGCCGACAAACAGCTGATCGGCAGAGCGGGGCAGCCATTTAAATTTAAATGAAGCCGCGATTATTTTAATCGCGGCTTCATTTCCCTCTGCCGATCTGGCTAATCTACATGCCTCCGTCGACGGAGCCATGTAGTTTAGACGTACCCTATGTGTCTAGACTCACCTGCTTTTGAACTGCCCAAGGAGATTCTTCAACATTCAAGACTTTTTGTTATTTTTCCCCCTTCCCCAGAAAAAAAATCCAGCTGAAGAAAAGTATAAGCCTTTAAGTACAACTGACTCCAATGGACATTCAGTGAAGGTGAAGGTAGAGTCTTTTGGAGTAGGCCTATCAAAGCCTACAGCAATGGAGGAATTTAAAATGATTTTTCTGCACAAACATGGAGACTACTTCCACATTTACAGAAAGTGTAAAGTACATATTACAAGTATGGAGTTGTGCTAATATTGCTTTATACATTCCTTGTATTATAGCTGAGATCTACGGCTTTGGCCATCCTTTTCTGATACAACACAATCTCGTAAGAATGTAATTCCAGGACATGTAGATCTATTTCTCACATTTGTTAACCGCATGTGTGTTATTTATTCTATATCTTTACAAAATAATCTTCTTGTCTTGCAAGATTTTAAATGGCTCAGTTTAAAGCTGGAAAACACCTGAATGCACTGGATTTTATTCTAGATCTATTTTTAAAAATAGGCTAATATTCTGAATTACGTTTAGAAGCGACATAAAGCGTATTAAGAGTTTAAGATAAACTTGAGTGTCATATACTATTATATTAATAATCTAAGTATGTGGGAGTATGAAAAGCCATTTTTGATTATTTAATTAATTTTGTTTGTTTGTTACACTTTGCTTTGGGACTCATCAATATGGTATCTGGGCATCACTCTAAAATTAATTAATTTATCCCCAAATGATTACATGTTTAAGCATTTTGATAGTGTTTTGGATCTAAGTGTAAGATCTGGCTGTTTCTCTCTGACATGGGACATAACACCAAATACATAAGTATAACTCTTTATCTTTATTTTGTCTTAATTTTATATTCAAACATAACTGATTTTAACACAGGATGTAAAGGTCAAGAGTTTAAATAATATCTGTTATATAATTCATTTGAAAAATGGCTGCTGAAAATGAAAAGATTATTTAACATAAACAATTAATCAAAACATCTTAAACTAGGTTAAACAGGTTTAATGGTTATATTGATATTTTACAGGATTTCTTATGTTTTTCAAAGCTCTTCCTATAAATCTTACATAATCTTACATAATATGACAATGTGATATAATAATCTTCTTACTCAAGGTCAACTGTTTAAACAGTCCTGCCTAACAGTAAAAAAAAACGAATATTTACAGTCTATGTTATTTAAACCCTTTTAAACCAGTAGTGACTGTACCTTGCAATTCTCTCTTGCAATGTAGCTCTCTCTAATTTTAACTGCACAGCATTCAAGTGAAGCTTCAAATCCCTTTTTACAACACACAGTCTACTGCCAAAAGACTGTCCTGTTCAAAATGTTCATACTACTTTTTCTTTGCTATTTGGAAAATTCACATTTATGAGGTTTTGTTCACTCAAATGTTTGGGGAATGTGGCTTTTTTCCCAGAAACTAGTATAGGCATAAAACAAGAGTATTTATAAGTGAATCAAATAATAACATTCATTATTTTCTGTTGTAATTTTCCTGTATAAAGCATTTCAGTCACCTAGGCCCTGATTAAGAAAGGCATTTAAGTATGTGTCTAACTTGAAGCATGTGAGTAGCCCCCAAGAAGCAAATCAAATTGTTGCTCCTGTTTGACCCAAGCAGCTCAGCAAAGTTCAGGCCCCTGGGGATGTTCCAGATGCAAGTAGGAATTGTTGGAGTCTGGTATTTTCTTTGATGCAGTTTTGTTTATTTGCATGGGCTGTACTGAGGGCTGCTTCTCCAAATGGAGGAGAAACGAAGAACAAAACAAAACAAATTCCCACATCTCTCTGTTCTTCCTGTTCTAAGTTTTTGTTTGTTCTGCCTTCCCCTGCTCGCCACTCTGCATACACCTGGTTACCATATCCAGTTGAACCCTCTGTCCAAGTGGTGCTAAATTCTGAGTAGATTATACTAGGCCTTATTATTATGTGGTCCCATAAGTGGTTTTTACAACTCTTTTAAGAGATAATTGTGCTCACCTATATGTTTGAATAAGGTTTGAAATCAATTTATTGCAAGGTTGCATCCAATTCATAAAGCCACTCATGCTTAAAGTTCAGCACATGCTTAAGAAACTTCCTGATCTGAGACTCTAAACAACAAAGCTAAGACAATAGCGCATGACTTAGAAGTACAGACACCACAAATAGGAAACAGTCATACAATTTTGCAAACCACCCGGAGGCTGAAATTTATTAGCATGAAATGTTCACTGAACAATGAAGAACAATCAAAGGCTGCTCATAAACAGGAAAAAGGGACTGAATTCATTAAATAATTTGAAATTAACAATTACAACAATTCATCTGTAAACAAAACAATTTCTATTTATAAAAACGTGTTGGAAACACTATTGTAAAAAATTAGGTATTTAAAGACAGGATGTGATAGAAAAGGATGAACTCAGCAAAGTTTAATGTCTAAACAATAAAAACTGTTTATAAACAAGTAGATAAGAACTGCCGCTGACCTGACCTAAAGGAAACTGCAGGTTCATTGTGGGAAGTTTCAAATAAAAATCTCTGTCTGGGATAAATATTTACAGTTAAGAATAAAGGGCCAATTTGTCCCAGAGCAGATTTAATCTTCATAGTCCAAGTTTATACAATAGCATGGTCAGCAACTTTTCTATCTAGGGCTCCTAACATTAACAGTGGAATTAAACAGTAGGAAATTTCCTATTGAGGAAAATAGTTTATTACCACACCCATATATAGGGTAGGAATGGCTAGGAATGGCTTCCTAGAGAGAGAGGATCTAGAGTGTGGGCTGAGCCATCCTGAAGTTGGGAATGTTGTAGCCAGACAGTACCCCCCACCCCCAGATATCCTTGGGAGAGGGAATCCTTGAGAACGAAACACTGTCTTCAAAGGCTCCAGGGCCTCCAGAGGTGCTGGAATAACAATGGCCCTGGATGCTAGATAGGAACCAGAAAACAGCAACAATTGGGCCAGCAGGCGGTCGGGGACCTTGGGCTACCTTTGGCCGGTACCAGTATTGCTACGTCTACACACACCGTACCAGAAGAAGAATCTGCCGCCCCATCAGAAAAAGGATGTCTGGCCCTAATGATTTAGTTACCTCCACCTCACAGGTGCGAATTAAGCTTTGGACCCCCTGTGGGAATGGGCGTCACAAAGATGTTCCAACTTAATTGCCATTTTAATGACAAGAGAAGTGTCTACGTGACCACAGGGGTATAAAGTGGGGCCCTGTGCCCCACTCTAATTGGAGATCCACCCATATACCTGCTGCTCAGGCGGTCTTGGACCCCTGAGACTTTAGGAACGCCTTCGTCTCCTATCGACTGCTTCCCATCGGGATTGAGAGAAACGCTGGCTTCGCCAGAGTAAGGATCGCAAGGATGAGAATATACCTGCTAGGTGTCTATTTTTGCACGCATTCAATAAGAGCTCAGAGAACCAAGAGGTTTTCATGGTACCTTTAAGTGACTTTTCATTGTATTTTCTGTCTTGACTTTTGTAGTGGCTGTGTTATCTGTAACACAGCAGTAACATTTAACAGCTAAGCTTGCCTTGTAACAATAAAATAGTAACTGTTTAAGCTTTAACCTGACTCCTCCTGTTGCTGTAACAGATCCAAACACAATCAAAAGAACTATAGCTGGTCAGGGGTAAACACAGTAAGAGCTGAGCACTGAGTCATGCTACTTCCACGGGGAAGACTCTTTGGGGCACCTGTCACCCTCCTTGGCTGCCCGCTGCGATGGGACTTTTGTGCTATCAGTCGAAGTCTTGGGTGTAACGAGCGCTCTCTGCACCACCTTAGAGCACTCGTCAGCCTCCCTGGCTGCCCACTGCGAAGGGACTCTGTCCTAGCAGCTAAAGACTCGGGTATGATAGGGCTCACAGACCACTCACTACCCCAGCCACCAGCTAACAAACGTATGAGAAGATAAGTGTGGGATGAAGGTTTGACTTTAATTTTAAGTTATATTATTTATGTTACTAAAACAAAAGCCCAGGAAGGGATCAAGTTGGGATTCTACACAGTGTGTGGACTGTGTTCAAGAGCAGGCTGGGAATTTCATATGCTCACATGTGTTTGTCTCCTTGTACAGGTGGTGAGGACCATTAACACCATCCTTCTGTGCCGGCTCATCCTCCTGGATGATGTGGACCTCATAGTTGCTGGCTTTGCCACTGTGGGCTTCCCCAACTGCAGGAGGGCCATTGATGGCACCCACATCCTCATCCGGGCCCCAGATCAGCAGGCATCGGACTACATTAACCACAAGGTGTACTTTTCTATAGTCCTGCAGGCTCTCGTGGACCACCAAGGCAGTTTCACAAACAGCAACTTTAGGTGGTTGGGGAAGGTGCATGAAGCCCGCATCTTCCACAACTCCAGCCTCTATGACAAGCTGCACAGTGGCACTTTTTTCCCCAAATCACAACATCAGGGTTGGGGACGTGGACGTGCCCATATGCATAGCGGGGGATTCAGCCTACCCTTTTCTCCCCTGGTTGATGAAGCCCTACACAGGACACCTGGACCAAAGCAAAGAACATTTCAATGAAAGGCTCAGCAGGGTCCACATTGCACCTTTGAGCCTTTGAAAGAGAGGTTCCACTGCCTCCTCACCTACCTTGACTTCAGTAAGCGGAATGTCCCTCAAGTGGTTGCAGCCTGTTGTGTTCTGCATAATATATGCAAGAACAAGAGGGAGATGTTCCTGCTAGGGTGGGAGGCAGAGGTCGAGCAGCCTGGCAGAGCCTTTGAACAGCCATATATGGTTGCCATCTGGCAGGCCTATCAAAGGGCTTTGCACATCCAACAGGCCCTGAGAGAGAGTTTCACACAAGGAGCCCAATGACGCTCTCCCCTGGGCCTCCCTACAAGGGTCCTGTGAATTGCCCTTTTCTTTCTTCCCCCCTCCCTCCCGCCCCGTTGATACAATAAAGCATACCTTTTGTTTTTGAAACAAGAAACTGTATTTTTTGATTAATTGGGGTAAATGCAACTGGGGAAAGAACCTGAGGAGGAGAGGGGGAAGCAAAGTGGAGGAAGAGGAGGAGAGACTCAAGGATCAGGCTCGGAGTGTTGCCTACCTCAGGTGGTACCACTACCATGTGTGCAGGACCCTCGGTGGCCACAATAGGGGATTAAGGGGAGAAGCCGGAGGGGCAAGAGCTGGGGCAGGAGCTGGGGCAAGAACAGCCAGCAGGTGACTGACAGTTGTGGTGTAAGCTGCGCCCATGATCCGGGCCTACTGCAAGAGCTCCAGCCAGGTGGTGTGGTGCAGCTCCATGGGTTCAGGAGACTGGCACAGGAGTTTTTCTAGGTGCCTTACTCACAGATGGTCCAGCTTTGAAGAACAAAGAGAAGGGCAGTCAACCCAAGAGACAGGGTGCCTGAAGCCTAGCCCTCATCTCTGAGCTGACACCACAAGTTCTTGGGTCCCATAAAGGTAATGTGCCTGGAGCAAGGCCAACAGTGGCCTAGACAGCAGGTCACTTCCTGCAGGGGCACAGATGTCCCTGTGAGTAGCCTCACTACCCCTACATCATGGGGACAAGCAAGAATGGGAAGGAGCCAGCCAGGCTGGGAGTCTGTGTATGGGAGGTGGGCAATGGGATGGCTCAGCCTCTGTGCCATATACATGTCAGGACTGGCAGTGACGGTGTTCCACAGGGAGAGGACTTGTATCCCTGGCCACAGGAGGAGGTGGGGGAGGATGTTGCAGAAGGTATGTGTGAGTGGAAGATGCCACTTGCTGGGGAGGGTGTTGCTAGTGTCCCGTCCACTTCCTCCCCTACCCAGCAGGCTCCCCTACCAGGGGCTTCATGTCCTCTGCCTCACTGTGCTTGACTGGGAGTGAATGTTGCGCTGAGAGTGCAGGCCTGACCATATGCCATGTGCAGCATTTCTGTGTGTATGTGTGTATCCAGGACCCCAGCCTCCTTAGTGGTGGCTTTAGGTGGGAGGGTGTCCCACCACAGGTTCAGGACTAACACAGGCCTGTGCAGGAATCCTGTGAGCAGGAGCACAATGGTCCTCGTGGGCTGAGTGCTCCACGTGCACCCATGTGCTCAGGCTGATGCAGGGGAAGGAGAAGGGACTGACCCCTCTCCCAGAATGTAATGGAGCTGGTCATAGTCCTGGCAGCTCTGGAATGCCATCCCTGAGTGGGAGCTACATTCCCTGGCCTTGGTATAGGCCTGCCTGATCTCCTTCACTTTCATCCACACCTGCTCCTGGGTGCGGCTATGTCCCCTCTGCACCAGGCTGTCGGCCATCCAGCCATAAATGTCTGCATTCCTGTGTCTGGTGCGGAGATCCTGGAGGTTCGCCTCCTCACTCCAGATCTCAATGAGATCCAGGATATCCTCACCAGATGCAGGTCTGCCATAGCATCAGGGAAAGAAGGGATGGCTGCTGTTCTGTGGCACAGTGCAAGCAGGGCCTGCGTCGTGCCACACGCTGTTTCCCCTGAAGCTGCACCTTTAACGGCTGCAGGGTAAGGCGAACTTTAGAGTTCTAATGAGTATGGACAGAGTGTCCAGCAGGGATGCTGTGGGAAGCCTCGGAGGCCCTTTATGTCAATTGTGTTGTCTACACGCGCTCTATTCCGAAATAACTATTTCGAAATAGGCATTATTTTTCGTAAAATGAGGGTTACAGATTTCGGAATAAGATGCCTGTTATTTCAAAATTATTTTGAAATAACAGGCTTGCTGTGTAGACGCTCACTTTGTTATTTTGAAATAATGCTGCTGTGTAAACATGCCCTTTGAATGTACCTGTGTTAAATCTCTGAGAAGCTTCTGCTGGCATTAACATTTGTCTGCTTCTGCAAAAGAGTTGCACCCAATCCTTTCTTCAGTGCCTCCCATTGGAGTGCCTATGAGGATACAGGGGCATCTGTGATCACTTGTTTCAGCATATCAGCTCTTTGCTGTTGGGGTCCTGTCCAGTCTCACTCAACATTCTGCATTGTGAGCAGACTTATGGTTTCTGTTGCAACAGCCAGGTGTGGACAGAACATGGAGGTAAAAAAATATCATTCCTATGAAGTATCATTCCTGTCTTGATCATCTGGAGACCTGCTTTCAGTTCCTCTTCTGTGAGTAGATGTCTAATGTATGTCCCCTTCTACTCTATGGCTTTGTCTACACTACATCCCTCTTTTGAAAGAGGGATGTAAATTAGGCAGATCGAAAATGCAAATGAAGTGGGGATTTAAACATCCTCAAAAAATGAGGAGTAAAGGATCTTTCAAAAAGAGGGGGTTTTTTTAAAGAACCGCATCTAGATGGTGGTTTCACCTTCGAAATACCCTTTTTCAAAAGAATGCTGTGATATGATTATGCAAATGAAGCGCAGGATATTTAAATCCTCGCTGCATTTGCACTTTCCATCTGCCTAATTTATATCCCTTTTTCTAAAAAGGGATGTAGTTTAGACATGCCCTAAGAGCTGTATATTTTTTGAGTTCCGTTTCATGTTCTTGTCCTTTGCATTGATGTAGAAAAACTTGTAGTTCTCTATCATGATCTTGTTCAAATTTCTGTGTCGTGGTTCTCTTCTCCTACAGTGAAAATATAATCAGTAATTATTTTCACTGCAGGCAGCTCTTCTACTGCTTGGGTGAATCTTCCATGAAATACCCCTGCTGCTGGACTTATGCCTATGGCTTGTATAGACATCTGTAGAGACCAAATGGAGTTACAAAGACTGTCAGCATTTCTCTAGGCTTCTGAGCCAAATCCTATCTCTCAGATTATAAAAATCTGATTTTGGAAGGTTTTTGTAATAGGTCATCAGATGTGGGCAGTGGAGAGTGGCACCTTTCCAATGTCCATTTCAATGGCTTTGGGTCTAGGCAAATGTGTAATTTTCATGATGGTTTCTTTACCACCTACACTATGCTGCTTGCCCAGGCTGTACTAGTCTCTACCGCTGTGTCTAGACTACACCTCTCTGTCGACAAAGAGATGTAGATAAGGCACGTCAAAATTGCTAATGAAGCAGGGATTTAAATATCCTACACTTCATTAGCATAAACATGGCCACTGCTTTTTTTGAAACAGCTTTTTCAAAAAAAAACCCCAGCAGTCTAGATGGGGATCTGTCGAAAAATAAACCCTTTTTCGAAAGATCCTGTATTCCCCAAAAACTGAGGTTTACAGGATCTTTAAAAAAAAGGGGGGGGGCTGCCAGGTTTTTTTTCAAAAAAGCTCCATTTTAAAAAAAAAGCGGCAGCCATGTTAATGCTAATGAAGCGCGGGATATTTAAATTCCTGCTTCATTAGTAATTTCAATGTGCCTAATCTACATCTCTCAGTCGACAGAGAGGTGTAGTCCACACGTACCCTACAGGTGCTACAGTACCCCTGCATTGCAGACTTGTGAGCTCCTTGGGTATTGGAATACATAATGCTACTGGACTTTCCCTTCATGGTAAACACATATAGTTCATTGTATGGTCCACTTCCACCAGTTACAGCTTTCCTTTGAGGCATTTGTCACCTTTCCAAAAATCTCATACACTTCCAAAATTGTCTTCATTGTCCATGAGACTTTCTCCCTTTTGCTTCTTGAACTACAGCTGTCAAATTTAGGTGCTGCACCCGGAGCAGATCCATGGCTTTTTATATTCCTGAATTCCCCAAAGGGGCCTACCATCCACCACCGCAAACTTTAATTACTTTCTGCTATTTTCCAAATTAGTTGCAATAAGATCACATTTTCCTACAGCCTGTATTATGGTCTCATTATGCGTTATTAGAGTAGGCCTATTGTTTGTAATGGGTATGCTCCTATCCAATTCACCCACACAAGGAATCACATTTCAGGAGGCCCTGCTATCCAGCTAAAATCACACAATGTATTTCCCTATTCTCACTATTGGTGCCTGGAGATTGATATTGTCCATTGTGGCTTTCCTGTCTGACCACCTGAATTTGATATGCTCTCAAATCAAGGAAAGAATCGCTCACTTGTACAAGTCTGATGGAATCTTTCTGGGACCTTCCTCTCCCCTTGTGAACACTGTTCACGTGGTTCAACATGCCACATTCCTTGTAATGCTGTCCTAGTGTGGGGCACGTCTCCTTTACCTGCTTATGCTGTGTCCCACAGTAAATGCGTTTCACGAAAGGTGTGGAACCCTGACTGGTGTGGAATGACGTTTACAGGGACACTTGAATAGTGAGCCCATTATATTTTGAAATAATGGATACATGTGGTATCCCAAAATAGTGTTGCAATGTAGACGTAACCTATCACTCCATTATTTCATTCAATAATATTCCATAATTCCTAGGACTCCTGTGAGCTTCACAGTCGTGATCTTTCTACCTTTAAGTTAAAAGAGTAGTTTAACTTTCTTGCTGTTGTCATCCTCCTAAGCAGCCAGGTCTGTGTTCAGCTCAAATACCTCCTTTCGCTGGGTTCTAACTCAACAGGTTTGTGCCTGCAAAATCCAGGTCACTGAAGGGCTTTAGACTGAGTTCCATGGCTCACATGGCCAGATACAGCACTTCAGAGGATTCACAACTCCTACACTGCCACCATATTTCTTAGCAATGAATTAAACTGAATGTAAATTGAACCAATGGAATTCCATTAAACCCAGATCACTCGCTGTCCACATGTGGCTGAGATGGTTCCAGGCTAATTCCACCCATTTACTCTTCCCTGGATAAACTGTACTTAATAAGCTCCTAGGAAACATGGGTCATCTGACTCCAGTTCCACTGATCATGATGCAAGGATGGTTTGTTTATTCTCAGGTCATGTGTTCTCAAAAATGCCTACAGAAACATATTGCTTCATCTATATGAAAAGCTGAATTTCTGTACAGGTTTGTCCTACAAGTATATTAAGATGTCTTCCATGCAAGACTTTGTTTTTACTTCTTCATTCTTCCCCACATA